TGGATTGTTAATATTTGTATTTTATCATAGTTTTTATTTTTATTACACCTTCACTAAGTTTTTGTGCTTCCTCCCGAACTGTGTCCATGTTGTTTTACTTGACACTTGTTCTTGGCGGCAGCCATATTGATTTGCTCCTCCTTTTGTGTGTGATCTATCCAGTCAGGATAGAATAGAGTTTATTTGTTGTGACTGGTAATTTTCCCACATCTTTTATCAACTTTATTTTATGTGGTTTAGATTTGATTGATTGAACAATTATTGGTTGAGTAGCCGGGTGGTAATATTTGTTTAGGTAACGATTTACATTTAAATTTATGATGAATTATAGAACCGCTATTTACCCGATTACTTGTTTTGATTTTGACGGGCAAGGGCGCGTGTCTAACGTACCTGGACGGCTATTCATTTATCCAAACCGTAGTTTGGATTCTACAGTCAGTGCCACGAAAAGTTTTCAACAGATTGTTGACTAACTGGATGAGAGATTCAGTAGATGCTCAGCTATAAGATCAACAGACTGGATTCCTTAAGGATCGGTCGTTCACAAACCAAATTGTAACACTACGGATCATTGTTGAACAGTCAGTTGAGTGGAAGTCGTCACTATACATCAACTTCCTTGACTATGAGCAGGCGTTTGACAGTGGGGACAAGTGTGGATCGGAGTCGGAAAAGGCTGCTTACTCTCTGGCTTCTTGTTTCTATTGGTGGTCGACTGAATTATGAAGACCTCGACATCTGAGGGAAAACACGGAATGCAATAGACAGCTCAGAATCAATTAGACGATTTGGAGTTTGCAGATGACCTGGCCTTCCTATCGCATACACATGGACAAATGCAGATAAAGACAGCCAATGTAGCAGAAGCGTCTGCATCAGTAGACCTCGACATACGTAAAGAAAAAGGTAACATCCTCAGATACAACACGGAGAACGTCAGCACAATCACGCTTGATGGAGAAACTCTGGAAGCTGAGGAATCTTTCACGTACCTGGGAAGCATCATCGATGAACAAAGAGGTTCAGATGCAAAAGAAAAGGCGACGATTGGCAAAGCAAGGGATCGCATCCCTACAAATAAAGAACGGACGGTAGTCAAAACAACTTTCAACTAATATCAAAGTCAGTATATTCAATACGAACGTCATGACAGCCCTACTGTATGGAGCTGAAACTTGGAGCACTACCACAACCATCATCAATAAGGTATGAGTACTTATAAACAGTTGTCTGCTTAAGATACTCAATATCCGTTCACCGAATACCATAAGTAACAACCTACTGTGCGAGAGAACAAACCAGGTCCCAGGTAAAGAGGAAATTAGGACAAGACTCTGGAAATGGATAGGACATACATTGCGGAAATCACCAAACTGCACCACGAGGCAAGCACTAACTTGGAATCCTGAATGGAAAAAGAGTAGAGGAAGGCCAAAGAACACACTATATAGTGAAATAGAAGCAGATATGAAAAGGATGAATAACAACTGTAAAGAGCTGGTAAGGATTGCCAAGGACAGTGTTGGATGGAGATTACTGGTGGGTGACTTATGCTCCTCCACAAGGAGTAACAGGAGTAAGTGAGCAAGCAAGCATTCTGAGGAGATTACTAAGAACACATCTTCTTAGAAGACACAGATTGTATGTATCCCATGTAGACAAGTATTGGTAACGTCACATTTCTATCAGTTGAATTTTAATCTTTATATCAAATACCCATTTCTTTAATTCTGTGAGGTCCTTTCGAAGCCCAAGTGGATCCCCAAAAGTTTCAAGTGAACCTCCATATACTGACATCGTCAGTGTATATATGATGTCAGTATACTAATTAGTCTGGAGGTTACTAGTGAAAATCAGTAGGGGAATGGTTCTTTGTGAGTATCTCGCAGTTGTGACTCTTCATTTCGTCAGATTTCTATGTATCCAGTTCTCTGGTAAATTTCGAAGCCAGGGTAGAAGAGGATAGATGAAATACATCTTTAAAACCATCTCTATGGAGAGTATTTGCGGTGCTGTGTCGGAGGCTCTAGCAGGTTCAAGAAATAATACGTCGACCGCTATGTTCAAATTCTAGTTGTTTAACAAGTATTCCCATGGTGTAAAGACATGCAACGTACAGGAACCCCTTTTCCGAATCCGTGTGGGACTTCATGAAGAACATTTCCTATCCATGTAATGTGACTAATTTGTATCAGTTTGTGTCTTTCTTATTTCCTCCATTCAAGATTGCATAAAGTACTGTACTTCTATTCCTTTGGAATGTTCTGTAACTCTAGGGAATCCCTGAACAAATCACATACCGATTTTCTGATGGCTTTTGAGTACTATTTCAAGGTTACGGAGCAGATATTGCCACATCATTGTGACCTTGTAACTGCTTAGGTTGGTTGGTCAAGAGTTCACCTCAAACAACTAAGCGTGTGTCAAAACAGTATAGTTCAAGTATTCAGTCACTTCCTTATTTTGTATAGGTGTTATATTTCCTATTATCTTATATTGAATTTTGAGAGGCTTTGTTTGTCTGAACAAATAACCTGAATAAAGACCTATTCACTACTTGTCTGGTTTCTTCTATCAATAGCACGATGGTTATCTAGAGGCACGTAAACTTTTCTAGGCACAGGTACTTTAGCCTACTTGATACAAAATCGGCAGTTAGGTGGATATTCCTCGAACCATCAGCTGACAATATATTCAAAGAGTGCTACGCGCTTGCAGGTTCCTGGTTTATTTGAAAGGAAAGGTTGGCATTGAAGATTTTTAACACCCATAGATCGATAAGATCTTCACCATTACGGTCAGTGAGAGCACAAACCCCCAGGTTGGTAGGCTTTCGTTTAGCCATGAACCTGTGGATATTTGACGTTAGCTTGTATTTCATCGACTAGCTTGACCTATAAATATCTTTCACCTCTTTGAACTTTTGCATTGTATCTGTTTCTCAACGCCAAGTGAGAGCTACGGCCAGAATCCTTCAGAAAGATTTTCCACTTGCACCAGGCTCAGTTATCAACTTACTCTATTTTCTTTTGGATGACATGCCTAGTCTTTCAAGTGGTACAGAAACTTTTAAGCATATATTCTATGCCAGTCCACAATAATGACTAGCTTCAGAGAGGCTTCTTCTTATACTCTGGCCATGATAAAGAAAATGCTCTACATACACAACGAGTTGCATTGATGCTGTTCGAACAAGCACAAAATGCACTTTTAGGATGGGAATCTCATGGACCAAGGATCATCAAAGTCTCTTTCAAAAAAAGGGCAATTCAATGAACGTCATCCAATGCTATGCGCCTACCAACGACTACAATGAAGACGTTAAAGACCAATTCTATGATGGGCCGCAGTCAATCGTCGAGAAGTGTTTAACAAAGGACCTGACCATTCTGATGGGAGATTTAAATGCCAAGGTTTTAAAGGACAACACCGAATATGAAGACATTATGGGACGACATGGACTAGGAGAAAGGAACAAAAATGGTGAGAGATTTGCAAACCTACGTTCCTTCAATAAACTGGTCATAGGCGGCACTATATTCTCACACAAGCGCATACACAAAACCACATGGATTTCACCGGATCACACCACGCAAAACCAAATCGACCATATCTGCATCAGTAAAGAAGTTCAGAAGGACAATGGAGGATGTGAGAACCAAGAGAGGAGCTGATATAGCATCAGATCATCACTTGCTGGTCGCCAAGATAAAATTGAAACTAAAGAAGTACCGGCCAACGAGGCGGATAATATCACAAAATTTCAAAACCGTCTTTCTTCGGGATATTGACAAACTCAACAAATTCAAGATAATCCTCAGCAATAAGTTCCAGGCCTTACATGATCTACTCAATGGAGAAGGAACTACTATGGAGAGCAACTGGAAGGGGATCAAAGAGGCAATCTCTTCAACATGTCATGAGGTCCTGAGCCACAAGAGGCACCATCACAAGGAATGGATCACTGTTGATACACTGGATGAGATTCAAGAAAGGAGGAACAAGGAGGCATCAATCAATAACAGCCGACCAAGAGCAGAAAAATCCAAGGCACAAGCTGAACACATAGAAGTAAACAAGCAAGTGAAAAGGAGCACCAGAACTGACAAACGTAAATATGTGGAAGATTTAGCGAGGACGGCGAAAAGGCTGCAAGAGAAAGAAACATGAGAGAACTGTATGACACGACAAAGAAACTCTCTGGAAATAACCGCAAACCAGAACGACCAGTGAAAAGCAAGGAAGGCGAGGTAATCGCCAACATTAAAGAACAACGAAACGGTTGGGCAGAACATTTTGAAGAATTCTTGAATCGACCAGATATGAGAAGAATGAACATCAATTGGATAGAATTAGAAAGTAAGGGCCAGGACAGAATGGGCTGGAGAATGCTGGTCAGCGGTCTATACTCCATTAGAAGCACACCTAACCTCTAAGGTTGGCAAAATCCCAGAATTCACTGTCATTTAAAGTAGTCCAAGCAACTTCCCAGGAGTCCTTTAAGAACAAGCTTTACATATTGTTAATGTCAAATGAGGTTACACAATATTCAAAGGGGAAGGAAAGAATTTAGGAATGAAAGTACGAATTTACAGCTTAGGTAAATGATTTCGTCAGAAAGAAAAAAATCTTTACTGAATTCTATTTTCATTTAATGACAATGGGTTATTTTAATATTCTTAAATACCCAGTACAGCATCTCGGTGTGATTTACTAATATTATTCAGTGAGATCTTCAGATGTCGGACTGTCTTAAAAGTTTTCGCAATTTCCTTCTCATTAAACGAACTGATTAAACAGGAACCGATAGCATGGAAAATAATGCTCTTGCATCAGTAGATTGTCAGTCAATTAACCCATTCACAATTCTCCACCAAAGGTAATTTACAAGAGAACGCCTTGGGGATTAATTCCTCCAGTCTCCATCCGTACTGTTTTCACAATTCAGAATTATGTTCACACTGCATCAACGGCTAGCTGTTTGGGTTGTTTTAGTTGACATACCAGTACGACCCGCTTTTCAAATAATTGCCATTGTTTAACTGACATTAGCCTAATGGCTTTAGACTAGGTTGGATTTCATTTTGTCTATGAAAGACGGAATTAGTAACGGTGATTAGTGAGTAGAGAACTGGTATGTTGCAATTGCGCTCCTTTCTGTTTGACTTCACTACTCTTTAAACTAGTTTTGTACCACTTACGTTGATATTCCTGACCAATATTTTCTCCCTAAAACACCTAGTTTTCAATTAATTTGTGGAAATTATATAGTTAAGCTAAGACGAGGTGAAAATGAGCTGACGGCAAAAAGGTTGGTTTGTCCCAGAAATTCGAAGTTTGCGGTAGAAACATGAAATATCTTTAAGACGGTGTAGATAATGAAATAGTGTGCATACTTTTGCACTGAATAATATATGCCGCACACTGAGGACAGGTCGGCTCACGTTTAAGATTTTACCATGTTTCCATTTTTGTATTTTGTCGGAGTCATACAAGTGACACGGCCAAGGCATCTCATATTTGCAGTGTCCTTTCCGTGATACTTTATTGGGTCAAGTCGGCAAACTTATTGTTCTCCTGTACCTCATTCCGACTTACAAGGGGCTCATATAAACGGTCACTCAAAACGTACATTTATCCTACATGTCCTGATTAGCGATATAAATTTTATTACCGCATGTGTGTATCCCATTGTTTTTGAAGCACTGCTCACCTGTGGAGAAACCGCTAAATAAGGCTCTAGCTAATGCTGAATAATATGAAATAGTTAGTAAGGCTAAATGCTCATCGACATGTGGTTAGGATATATATATATATATATATATATATATATATATATATATTCTAACCAGGGTTTTACATTGGTTACTGAGTGATATAATTCTACAAATTGTTTAGACTTCGCTCAATGATATATACTTACTACTGAATTTGATGTGGCGTTTATTATCACTCTAGTCTGCAAATCTCTACTGGTTCGTGTACCTAGTCCTGATTTGTTTCTATTTTGCTTCACTAAATAAGTATATCTTGTTATTTTCAAGATGGCTCTAATAAACGTTCTGTAGTCTCGTCTCCTCTGTGGGAGTAGACACAAAAATTTAGTGGTAATTCACAATTGGTTTGTTTAGTAACCTAAATTGTAACTACTCTTTGTGACCGGCACGAAAATTACACCAGATATTTATTTATTTATTTGAACACATTGTTACAAGGAGGCACCAGATACGTATGTGAGACACAAGTCTCATTTGCTTTGTGAGGGCTGTGACACTGTTCGGGTGCCCGGACTGAAGCAGGTGGTTATATTAGAGGTCAGACCCGGAGCCTTCGACGTGAATGTCTGATCCACAAGGTAGTGGAGCATCGTAAGGAGATGCAGTCCCATGGAGGCCAGTGACCAACAATTGGTTCATACGCCATTTGTTCTTTCAGGATACTGGAGCCCATGTGCACCATTGGTTTGGAATTGTGGTTTTCCAACTCCTCTAGATGGACTCTCCATGTCCATCAACCCGGTCAAAGCGTCATACATTCGCTTTTCGTCCTCTCGGCGAGACTAACTTATAGACTTTTGAACGAATCTTAAGCGATCTTGAGAAATATTAGCCAATCAGCAGTCAGTATAGAGTAAAAATATGTTATACAAAACCAAGGAAATAATGTGGATACACTTCTTATAAGTGTTTGAAAACTTGTCAAGGTTAGAAAGAGGTTCAGAGGTTCTAAAATTGTAATGCATGCAGTAGAGAAAATCACCCATACGTCTACAGAATAGTCGGCCTCTGGAGCTGCGATAAAGTTTCGAAAACTTTCAGCCTCGACTACATAGCTTCAATAATGTTGATGTGCACACCGGTTGATGAGTGCACAAAATGCTACTTGTGGATAACGACATGATGCACATAACCATGCCTATGTTGGAGTCCGTACGCTCTCCAATCATCCGTATATATATTATAGTACCTGACTGCAGACAGTGTTACTGGTGCTTTCATTATCCAGTTCGCAATAATTGTCGTAATTTGCCTTAGTTAGAAATTATATATGGGGTTTTCATCACGAACTGACATCAGCTATAATGCCAGAAATTTATTTAGCCAAATGGATGAAAGGCTTTCACTCCAAAATCCGAGATCTGTTATCTTATACCTGATTGATTCGTCCACAAATTATAGTCTCGCCGTTTTATTAGTTATACTCGCTCAATTATCACGTTTTGTACAAAATTCTTTGTCAGTCGATCGTACGTTAGCACAAAGCACTAAAATTTGCACCGTAACCTTGAAATCTGTAAAACGCCTCTAATTGCCTCGTCCATAAATTAGTCTCACCGTCCTCAACTTCGTAAACAACACCCACACTACGAGAAGGCAGTGAGTAGGACTTCCCTGGCAAAGGCTACATACGCGTGGCCGTGTGGGAGCATTTCGAGAGGGAGATCGGACTCCCCACTCTCGATCGTACCAGGGTATTTGGGGGCACACCAGATGTTTGGTAGTTTTTTATAAGAGAAGTCCGACGTTTTGGGTTTTCTCATCCTACAAAGACGATCAGATTTAAATATGATGTTGTCGCTTCAAGTTCCTACGCATCACATCACCAGTGAAAATGAACGGTATGATTCCTGATATATGAATAAAGATGAAGAATAGACTTGGGTTATCGTGTTAGGTTCTTAGTCATTCTACTCAAGTTCTTCAACCAACTATTCGGATAACCACCAACCCTAACCCTAATCAAACACAATAGCTCAGACTGTCGTACTTTTGGGTGTCACCAAATCAGAAACGAGAACTCAATACCAGAAGAACTTGGGAAACAGTGATGTAGATTAGACACGGAGGAATTTCAAGTCATTCGTCAGAGGATGCAGTTTACACGCTTTCACTCAGCATCTCTCAGGTTGTTTCATATCAAGTCGAAATTTTTTTGTACACACATTTGTCCTATCATCACTTTTAAAGTCAGTAATTTTCATGAACAGTCCCTAATAAATTCTGTTATTGGAGCTCTACTATAGTTTATCAGCTTTATTCCATAGAGACAAGTTATCTTTAGATGCTACCCGCACCTCTCAGTGAGGTTCATCATATAAAGCCACAAGTACTGAAACTGTTGTTTCGATGTTTGTACGTCATGTAGCGTTGTGCAGCTAACCAACTTACCTCAGTTGTTTTTACGGCGAGACTTCAATTTATGAACGGACCAATTAGATGTAAGACAATAGATCATGTATTTTGTTGCGAAATTAATCCATCTGGCTAAATAGCGTTTTGGAATTTCAGTTGATGTCAGTTCGTTTTGAAAGTTCTAACTCCTAACCCTATTCATCAACTGTAAATCATAATCTCAATTCCTCGCTCTAGTTTATAATCCTCATTTAGCCCTATTGAGTCGGTGAGCGTTCTTAAGGTTGTATCGTAATACTGCGTTCACGAATTTACACGTCGTAAATGAGTCACATCAATTAATCTATCAATGTCTTTTTTCAGCACAGTTTACTCATATTTTATCCCTCTTTTATTTGTTTTGTAGTCTCGTGATAACGCTTTCCGGGGCCCATACATCCAACTAGTATGATGATTATATATATGCTGTAATTTTCACGAGTCACATTAAAAGTCTGTGATATGTCTAGCCGATCGCGTCAAAGGCGCAAGCGTTTTATCAGTGGGAGCACTTTAGATGAGACCTCTTCTTGTCGTGCAAAGAAAATGCTTATAAGTACTGTACATCATTCCAAGTCACAATGTAATGAGCAGCATACTTCTTTACCATCTTCACCAAATTCTCCTTTTCTGGATTCCGCAAATATGCTATTCCACAATTCTGATATCGGCTTGAGCACTTATGTTAATCGAAAGGATATTCCTGGTGATCGTTCTGATCCGGTTGAAGATGAGAACTCATTTCCCTCAAGCATGTTTTCTGAAAAGCTTGTACAGCCCGGACTAAATCTGGTTCCTGAACCTTCATCAACAAACGAACATGATTCTGTAAGCCACAAAAATTCCTCTGTTCCTAATAAAAGTTTATTAAATTCCCGTCCGAGTACTATACTGGATGCTGAATCCGATATCAACCTAGATAGAATGTTGATTCAGAATGAAAGAATGGTTTTAACGCCAACTCCGGTGGCAACAGACGATCCTGGCAGTTCCGAGGGGGAGTATGAAAATGAAAGTCGAGAATCAACTTTGCATCAAACTAATCCTTCAGTTCGTCATACCGCCTCAAGGAATATGACCAGTCAGTCTGGTTTGGTTAGTGTTCCGTCTAACCGAACTTTGGAACTTGTTGAATCCGAGTCACAGGGAAGTATATATTCCGACTCAGTTAAGGTTTCCGTTTTCGATACAATATCTCAGTCTGCAGAGTGCAATTCTGCTAGGTCTGGGAACTTGTCAGCACTGAACTCGACTTTAACCAAACCCAGTGGATTTGTGGAGTCATCAACGCCGAATTGTTTCGTTGCACTGGTGAATTGTAGTCCTCCACTTCAAATTCTCTCCAGTCAGAAAATGCATAAAACTGTTAGTTGTCATCGGACTACCACTTCTGAACCTCCAGTTTTACCAAATATGGAGAATATTGAGTATCATGATTCTTCGGGTAGTAATGGGATGATTGTAACGTGTGGTTCTCATTGCTCTCACAGGAGCACAAATGAAAGTCCCTATAAGAAAGAAGCTGAATCAATAAAACAAAATCCCTGTAGTTTCGAAAATCAACCTCATAACTTTCATCCAACAATAAATGTGAACGGTTTTTCAAGAGAAGCTCAACATAAGGTTCTACTGAGGTCAGAGCCACTGTCATCTTCAGTTTCAATCAGTAATAACAATTTTCTCCCTGATAAATTTCAAATGATACAAAAGTCTGATGATATCTCTACATTTCCCTCTGGTAAGTTGGACGTCACCATTTTCATTTTAAATAATTTTAATTTAGAACGCTTCAGGGCATCTAGTCATCAGTTTTAATTTTGCATGATATTGTGAACCTATTCCTCTATTGCCTTGTCAAATTATATATATATATATATAATGCAACTAACCATTAATTTTAAGTTATTGAATCGGTAACGAAAATAGTCTCCAAATGCCCTGGTACGGCTATGTGGGGGGGGGAATCCACTCTTTTCGAAATGGTTTCATTGGACCACGCGTATTTAACCACTACTAGGGAAGTCTTACCCGCTGCCTTCTTGTGGCAGGTGTTTATGAAGTTAAGAGGACGAAAAGCGAATACCTAGTGCTTAAACCGGGTTGGTGACTACAGGGGATCCACCCTGCAAAGTTGAAAAACCTTGATTCCAAGCCGATGTGTACATGAGCGCTTAGATCTTGAGGAGACAAAGAAAGTATTAGCCTATTCTTGGTTAACGGCTATCATGGGACTGCATCTCTTAACGTTGCTCCATTGCCTTGTGGACTAGATCTCTGTGTCAGAGGCTCTTGGGTCGGCTTCCTTACAAAGCCACTTGCTTTATGCACCCGGGCAGTATCCTAGCCACTACACATATTCAATGGTTTGTGTGTCGCATATGTAATTTGTTACCTCTCTGTACAAATGTTTGTGTCTGAATAAACAGGCTGGGTTCATGTGCTTAGCTGTAGTTCACCTGTTTTGTGACCTGAAGTAACTTATGTAAGAGCTCAGAACATTGAGCACAAAAATTTGCACTTCATGGATTCCTTTGTTTCCGGTTAGTCAAACAGTTGAAAAGCTATTTCCTTCTTTCAGAATACAAATCATTTCCATGTTTGTTAATTAGTTTATAACTTTTGGTTCCACCTTAAAAGGATACTGTTTACTTGTCACATCAAACTTATAATTTCTCTTATTACGACCCGGCTATTCTTATTGCTTACTAATCTCGGACACCAATTCACTCGACAAGTCCCCAAATGAGGGCACGGTTGAACAGGAAGGAATTTATATTCCAAATAACAAGGCTAGATCAAAGTAAGAAGCACAATAAGAAAAATGTTAGTATATTTATGGTTCTTGCATGAGGAAATTCTAGTCTTCTCCGAGTACCGACGAGCGCTGACTGGATCAGAAATAGTCAATCAGAGTGCACCAACACAATCGTTCATGGAACGTGCTTTAATCTAATCTCTCGTTAACAGACTTTACACATTAGCCAATAAATACATGCAACCTTTTCAGTACTGTAGACACTCGCTTATCATACTTACGCTAGTTTGTTGAAATATCCACTTGGATCAATTCGGGTAACGAAGTAGAATGTTTTCCCATGCTATTTCTAAGTCATATCCATTCATGCATAGCGATTGTAGGTTATCATTTTATTCCGCTCAAAACCCTGTTTTGTATATCTAGCTGACTTATTTTTGTTATTTTATATAGTACCATCTGAAAAATCAATACTTCACTGAATAATGGCTTTATAATTTTTTTTTCAGACCACATTTTCATCATAACTATTCCAAATTCTTCTGAGGTACCACCTACTTTTGTTAAAAAATGCAGAGATTCTGAAAGTGGTTTCTTCGATACTCCCACGTCTCATAATGTAAATAATATCCTAAGTCCAGAAGTCGGTCACAGCTATCCTCTCCGATCCCGCCTGCGACAGGCGTCCTTGCGATTGCAGTGGCAAGCCATGCAAGTAGCTCCAAAGTCATTCGGGCAATTACCTACAGAAGTTGTGTTTCGCATTATTCAGTATTTGAGCGTACAAGATGTATTTCGCCTTCAGCGTGTTAACCACCGGTTGAAATCTATTATTGAGCAGTATCTTCTACTGGTTAAGCGCATTAATTTTAGTAATGGTCTCCCGTTCGCATTCTTACCAGATTCAATCACAGATATAGCTCTGAAACGCATGCTAAGCCGTACGCCAGAAGTCACACATATTCTTGGCTTTTATCCTCGTAAAATAGCAGAATCTTATCCATCCGACGGACAATACTCAAACATAAGTTCTGGTCATAATACATTAACCTACAGTGGGATTATCACAGCCTTTCGACTTTGTCCGAAACTCCGCTCAGTTGAACTGATGGATGTCGAGTTGATGAGTGAGTTGGTTCGACATCTCCCGCGCATCAAATTTCACGGCATGTTTCGAAACCGCCCAGATTCTTGGGATTGTGAATACGCAGTTCCTCTGCCACCCGAACCGAATGCTGAAACTATTTCAATGGATAGTGACCACGACTCTATGATAAGCCTTCCAAATTCACGTGACGAGTCCCATGTTGACTCAAAATCCAAGCCTCTTTTTGGCAGTTTTATTAGCACGTTATTTTGTTCCGCGACTGCTGCTTTAGCGGTGGGAAGTAGTCGTGGTAAGCGAAAAAATGTAGCTCGTTTAAAATCTAAAAGCCAGACAGGATGTGGATGTTCCATCCAGTCATTCCAATCTCTAAATGCAGCATTTTCATTTCCATTATGGAAGAATGAAAACAGTCAATCACTTACACAGATGACCGCACAATCAGTCCATAAGGTTGCTTTGCGTCATGCGAATTTCTCAAATTGGTTTGAACCTATCGGTGAGTTGCCTCTTGGCCAAGGTTCACCTTCTACAGTGCCTCACTTTCTTCCATCTCGGCTGTTCACTGCATTTAATGGTGGTCCTAGTTTCCCTCCTGCGCACGAGAATATCCCAAATAATTCTGTCCCACCTATGGGGCAGGACTGTTACTCCAGTGCCGTGGAATCTTTACGCAATTTAGCTGTTTCACATTTTCTGCAACCTGGTTTGCCACCCATTGAAGCTGAGCTAATTGCTGTGGCTCCCTTTGGCTATTCTCGATGTTCTTTACATGGTGTAGGATCTGGTCGAAACGGCATTCGTAATGCTCATGGTCCAGTCTTAGCATTTGCCTTCGGGGCTATATTCGTCCCTCCACAAGGAGTTTCGCCGTTCATTTTGCCATCCAATAACGCGTCAAACTGCCGCTTTATCGATGCAAGACAATATAATGCCGTCCTATTGGGAGCTAACTTACTGCGAGGAGCACAAGGACCTCATCTTGCATTTGAGCGTATATTCAACTTCCCGCAAAATGTTAATCAAAATAATGTTCCACGTCAAGTTCAGCTGCACGATCAGGTAGGAGGGCGAAACCAACAAAGACAGCACCCTCAACGTTTTCGTCGACCACGTACAAGCATAACAAGCTTGAATGCCTCCGGTCCATGGTTGGTCTCCCCATTTCCCAGTCAACTGCAGTGGATTATTTTACCTCATGCTATTACAAATCTAACCAAATTAGATCTAGTTTCTGTCGCAATTAGCGCTATTCCACGACTGGACAATATTAAATATCTACATCTTAAATGGGTAAGCACAAATTAGTTTTTTGGAAATATGTCGTTTTAAATGTAATAATTAGTCTAAAAATACTTTCTACAATTTACTTATCTCTGTCATTCGGGAAATTATGAAGATTACGATAATGTAACTACTGTTAGTTACATATCAGATGTCTTTCACTTTGCTAGAGTTCTAAACATTTTTGCTCAGTATTTAAACCTCATGTTTTCGAACTCCTGGGCGCCACCTACACTGAAACTCAGAAACCATGTACACGTTCATGCGATTAATATATTGAGTATAGTTTAAACCTTTAACCCATTGGTTAAAAATTAAATCCTTACATCGATAAACCCATAAATCCTATATGTTAAATTATGAGATAAATATATCAGGGAAACAGATTTACAAATTGGCTTAGTCTCAGATTTATTTAGTTTAAATAGTTGGACTGGAATTCCAGAATATACAAAATCCACTTTTAAAAATTGAAAGAAATTATTACATGGGATCCAATGTGTTAATAATTTTCAATATAAATCTTGAAGTAGTCTGATTATTTGAGTATGAAGTAATTCTAAAATTCATTTTATTATTTATCAAATCTAAACAGTTTAACATTCACTGGTTTATATCTAGAAGTTAAAAAGCTTCAGACAACTGTGTAGCACCTCTGGTAGCTCTCAAACATTGATTATGGTCAACTATTAAGTTGTGTTGATTATTTTGATCTTTGTATCTAAAAGCCACATGTTATTACAACGCTTTTAGGCTGTGGAATTCGAATATATATATATATATATATATATATATATATATATATATATATATATATATATATATATATATATATAGTGTTAAGAAGCAACTGTTCGGTAATTTACAAATCTCAATAAATAACTCATTATCCAATGACGATCACAGGAAAATAATTTTGAATGTAACGTAATAATGTACAGATATTTAATACTAAGGTATTTTACTAAACACGAACCATTTCTAGCCTCATTGATTTTAAAGATTTTCTAGCTAATATACTTGGTATCACCTGGATATTTTTGAATGTCACAGGCTTCTTTATTACTTGATTGGTTGGTTTTCTGACTTTAGTACTGAACTGTCTTCATTATGCGCGTTCATTTACTACTGATTGTAAAGGAACATTAATTACCTTAAGATGCTATCAGTTTAGATTACTTCAATACATTGATTAGTAAATTATTCAATACATCTGACGATAACTTTAGTCTGAATCTCTAAATAAATATTCATTGACTAATGGTTTTTTAAATCACATAAACACTGCATAATTTGCTGACTTGTAGGTATGAATAAGGATAGCTAGCGCAAACAAATTTTTAAAGATATAATCATCTTTTTTTTATACAACGCATTTAAATTGACATTTTCTCATGCAACAAATTGTTAAAGTAACTCAGTCTGCAAAATATTACACATTTCAAGTTGAAATTTTAAAATTCACTTCCTATTATTTTACTCATGTAAATTTCAATTTGGTGTATAGTTAGATTTTAAAATTAACCCAGTTTCCTTATAACTACAGTACATCGATCAATTCCTAATATAACGATTTCATGTGGTAGTATCTGCGAATTTGACGTAACCTTCCTTACATTCAATTTAGGTTGTATTCGCTTCAGCTGATCCATTCTTCAGTTTTTTGGCACCGAAATTGCAATCATTTGTCATGAACAACTGTAGTACACCATCAAGAGTTGTTCGATTTGTTCGTATTTTCTCGGCTCTTTCACGGGCTCCTCAGCTTACACGGCTTGAGTTGGTTGGTACACGCTTCATTGGTATGTCGTCTGTATGCATATTTATTTTTTTATCAACACTCTATTACCTAAGCTCAGTTGTATTCCAGCCTACATACATTTGGTCTAAGTATTTTCCTCCTCATATATGAAATATTTTACCAATTGCTTCCTAACCTATGATTTCATTAAGTTAGTAAGTAATTTGTATGAATTTCATGAGCATAATACTCGTTTTCAGGGGAATTTGTGCAAACTGTTGGTTAGATACTGATGTTTAACTGATTGATTACATCTATGTTCGTTAAAAGTTGTGATTAGTTGATTTGTAACATCATCTTTTATTAGACTAGCTTATGAGGTGTCGAATCAAGTTAACCATCGGTTTATTATTTACTAAGTATATATCTATTGATAATTTTATCATAACCCTACTGCTTTTTCCTAGATGGTCTAATTGGACACATAATTGATGACAGTATGTCCCACGGGCGTGGATTTCGTAATCTTCAGCGTTTGGTGCTTTCTAGCAACAAAGATGCATCTGAAGTAGATATTGGATTGCTTCTGCTGGCTGGTCAACAGTCTTTGAATCAAGTAGCTCTCCAGATGCTGCATACACGAAATTCATTATTTGAAGGTCTTTATCATGCCGGTGCTGAATTTCCACGTCTTGAAAGTCTTACTCTTGGTAAGTCGATTACTATCATGCTTTCCCAGTATACATGCGTGTCTTGTAGAGACTCATTTGAGTTATGTGTTTCGAAATATTCTCATGAGTATATCATTATAAATTATTGTTAGACCATAGTGAGTTGTACCAGATCCTACTCCACTTTCCTCGATAGAATCCAGAACTATGAAAACGAATACTTCGTTACTGAGTTACATTAAAAAATATTCCCTGCCTTTGTAGGTTACTGACATTGGATCATGTGTCTTCAAAGCATCGCTCGCGTATTTTGGGACTACCGAATCGTCAATACCGATGTTTAGGTATAGTGTACTGGGTAAGAATGGTAAGTCGGTCATGGTTGAGACATGTACTACATATGCCCAACCAACGCCTACCTTGATGCGCGATATTATCTGGTGTAGGAGTGAGTATGTTGGAAGGAAGTTGGCAATAAGTGTTGCAAAACCAAAACGTGCATCGGTTCCTGAAGTCATTAGCAATTAGACTGAGCTGTTTAGTTATACGCAGAATACACGTGGATGGGGACTTTAGATGATGTCTCAGAATTGTACGCAACAATACAAATGAATTTAATTTTTGTCCTGAAACCTCCTAATGTCTTTTTTCCTCCTACTCCCAAATTTTACTTCTACCGATACTGCTATTACTTTTATTACTCTGGGCTTTGTCATGATAATTTCATCTCCCTGTACTACTTATCTAAATGATGTCTTATCCTGTTATATCAGTGGTGTGGGGACTTGAACCGATACACATGTACCAGGTTCTTCGTTGCATATGACTGACTGATTAATTGTTTATTTTATCTGAATCGGTGTGGTAAATGTAGTTTCCATCATCTTACGATATTTTCATTATTTAATATTACCTTTCATTGTGTTTCGACATTATAAACCAATCTTGATCAAATGTGCTTTGTCTGTTATTCCTTAATACTTCACTAAATTGTATCTATTTTGTTTAAATTGAACTTTTTAACGTTTACCTTTCAAGAGATTCGGCATCTCCTATTTTCTAAAATGTATATGACGTTATAGTTATACCACCTTTTTAGCGTATGGTTTTTTGTATTTGCCTTACAACCTTCACAATTGACTGTTATAGTGTTTATTCCGTCAATAATAATGATATATGTTTCATGCATTTTATGTTTCGCATAATTAACAATGTTACGAATCCTTAGTCAAAATAATTTGTGAATCATGTCTTTTTCCATATCCCATTTTTTAGCATACCCTCTATAATCATTCGCATCATTGTAATAAAGATGATTTCTACGTTCAATCTGTTTTAAATTTCTAGGTTATTTAGATCCTTACCAGTCACGTTTAACAGTTTCTGAATTGATGAGTTTAGGTATTGGGGAATCATCTGATCATTTGTCACCTATTTGTATGATAACCGATTGGGGTATAGCGCTTGCATTTTTCATCTGTCCTCGACTTGTAAATATTATCATTCGAAATGCACCATATTTAAATGATATAACACGATGGTTTTCTGCTGGATTTTGTGATGAAGAATCACTACACATTCGACCGACAATTGTACCTTCATCAGCTAGCGAGGATTCTACTCAACCAGCTGCCGACTGTCAAGAAAATTCTACACAAACGTGTGTAACAGACAAACCTTCAAAAACCTATTTCTTACCTCTACGATCACTAACATTGGAAAACTGTCCTGGGATATCACTTGAAGTAAGTCTAGAACTCGATAATTACCACTGTGAATATGATGTTGACAGGCAAAAGGATTTTGTAGACATATTAATGCAGTTCACTATTCTGCATATAAATTCTGTCATCATCAATATCCATATTGGAAATATGGGTCAGTAACCCCCCCTTTGTTATCCTATTGAATATTATAAGTGCACACATTAGTCCTTGAGCCTTGATATTATACGTTGTCTTATTATTATTATTCTGACTTTTAACTTTATTTCTCCTGCATACTGGGTGGTCGGAACTATTGGTAATATGCTGCATGCTCGAAACCCTTTCTACGTACTTCGAAATAGACCTGCTTCGGTTTGGGCACTCGGGCAGTATCACGGCCCTCACACATATCGAATGAGATTTGTGTGGCGCATATGTATTTGGTTCCTCCTTGTACCAATATCTATGTGTTAAAATAAATAAATACTTCGAAATAGACTGCATGGTAATATCACCAGCCTTCACACAAACAGTTTAACTGTAGACCGGATGCATAAAGCTTGTGGTTAGAAAAGCATTTATGTAATTCTCATTTTATTAATTTCTGTCACTGCTCTGATGTGATATGTGACAACTTTGACTCGTACATATTCCTGTCAGATTCTGCGTTTTCTATGACCGTTTGATTAATAGACTATGTGTACTGACAAGTTGTACAGAAAAATAGAGATTTGTATTGACTGCAAAAGTTCTCTTACGACAGACCAGTTTTTCTCTTCTATTGTCACCGTGCGTCAAGGATGGTTAAGCTGTTTCTTGTAATCGATAGTTTACACCAGGCTTATATAAGTCGCAATTTTTTGTCTGATCTTTGCATCATTTAGGTTAAAAATATTTGTTTCTCTCTAGGCTTGTTTGTGATTGATCTAAATACATTAATTTTGACATAACAACTACAGAGTCCTTTACTTTTTCCATTGTTTTGTTTAGTTATGCTTAAATGAGGCATTGACTATATGAGTTTGGTCAACTTAAGTGGTATCATTTCATAAAAATCCTACCAACGTTTGCTGGATTACAGTTGCATTTTTGTCAGTTGTTACAGTTAGAAAAATCTCGTAAACATTCATTCATACATATATATTTTCTTTGATATTTGTATAGTATATCGAGATTTTTGTTGTTATCTGTGTATTGTTTTCAAATTTGATTTGTTAATGTTTACTTTTTCACACAATGATCCCCCTCATTATATTAAAATGCGGCTTATTTTTTGTAGAATCTTGAACGTGTTTTGATTAGCGGACATCCTTTCCCATGCTTAGAAACTGTCGTCTTAAGAAATATGTTTGCGCCTCAATACGGTGAGAGCAAAGGCTTCATGAATACACCGCATCTTTTTGTTGATCAACATGATCAATGTGTTACTGGACAAAGTATAGATTGGCGTAAACTTGTTCACCTTTTATGCTTATCAGATTTATTAAGTACTCGTCGACTGGGCTATTCTCCTTTATCACCTGAAGACTGTATTGGCTTAGGTGCATCCGTTCGAGAAGTAATTCACATGAATCCACCACGTGGTTTTCTACCAGATTCTTTACGAACAAAACCACATGATTTATTTGTAAGTGATAATATAGCTTTGTTATATTTCATTGTATTCTATGTAAATGTTTTTAGACCATACATCTTTTATTCACATTGCTGTTTTCTGGTTGAACACTACTATTTAAAAAAGTAATTAGATCAAATAACTAACTTCACATTTTACGTATAAAAATACATTGACTCCATTTATCTTTTTTGTTTCAATTAGCAGTTAAGAGAAAATCACTCAAAATACATATTAAGACTGATACTAAACGAATGATGTTAAGATAAGATATTCATTGTTGGAGATGCAGATCCCCAGAAGTCATTTCGTAAACGTCTTAGTTTTTGTAATTTTATTTAGGAAATTTGAATTTATCGTTTTCTCAGCAGAAGCGCCCATTTTACCTTCAGTTTGTATTTCCTACTTGGAAGGACCCTAAATGTCATTGGTTCGTTGCGACGTTTCCCAAGGACTTTTTTATTCTGTATATATATACTTGAGTTGTGTGCTTGGTTGTTCATGCTTCTGGCTGCCTGTGGAATTTATCTTTCCCTCATCTGAACATGGTCTTCTCCCTCTAGTTAGCAGGGCTGAAATGCATCGGAATAGTTTGGTTTGTCTTGTCATTATCTCGCCGATCTTTCGTTCCATTCGCCGATTTTGGACGATCTCAATCTCCAAACATATCATTCGTTTTTTAAAAGGCTATTGTGATTGCATTTAATTCTTGAACTACTAATTTTCAACATATCGACGATTACTATCAAATCCCTTCATAGATTTGTGTCATATTCTCAAGACCTTTGTTAACCTGTTCCTATATCAGTCATAATTTCACATTTGATTATGTTTATATTTTTTGTCCTGTCCACTTTAATTAATTTACAGATTCATTCATTCTTATGTTATTCACTTCGACTGACTGGTTAATTTTAATGAACTTGTTACTTCTGTGTATAATATCACTGTTTACTAAGTTTACATGTATTTCAACTTAGTTTTGGACTCTTTATAATGTTATCATATTGTGTTTTATACTAAGAAGATATTACTAATAATGTAGTTGATCTAATATTATTAATGCGATCATGCGACTAATATATAACAACACACAAGTGAAGATAGCAAGAATTAAACTTTGTAAAAGTTCTCATTTTTCAAGAATGACAAATGTAATGAGTAAACACCACTGTGCACAACTCTGAATAGACATAATTAAAAGAGACAAATACGAGCAACAAATAGTACAAATAATCCAACTTTACATGATGTTTAAGATTAATGTCTCTGTGTTGATACACAAAAATGTAAATTAAAAAGATTTATTTATATAAGTGTTTTTTATAGGGAAACTTCGACACAAAATTTTTATAGTTGAAAAATTGCATACTTAAGTGAAATATGGGGCGTTTTCTAGTTTTTTATTGATTTTAATTGTTTGTGTTAATTCAATTCGGTTATTTGTTTGCTTATTCTTTGAGGAGAGGGCCTTACACTAATCAAGAAATTCAATTTTTAACTCATTGGAATATATATTATATATATCATTATTGCTACTATTTGCAATCTGCTCAATGTCCGATTTGCTTGAAATTATCAAGTTGAACCTTGCTAATGATGCTTCTCTATTCTAAGTCACATTAAAGAAATAAGTGACGTATTCATATTGTCGTTGAGAGAATAGTCAATGCCAGTTTTAATATATGTTATTTGTGATAAAGTTGATTCTGATTGAATATTCTACAGTTTTTTTCTCGTAGAAATCAGATTTTTTTACCATAATAGTTTTTTTTTAAAAATCTATCACAGTGTTCACTTCGAGCTCACACCTACTTGAATAATCTGTTGGAATTAGACGGTTCCTGCGGTTGGTCAGTGTCAGCACCGACCAGAGTGATTAAAACGTTGTTTTCACATAACATACATATTCCAGTGTCGGATGTTCCCGAACGATATTCCAGTAAACCGGATGATGATAATGATTTTATGTCTCGTTCCACACAAACATGCATTTGCGGTGTATTAGAATGGGATGTTACTCTGAGAATGTCACAGTCACAATTGGTTACTGATCAAAAAATTGTGAGAAGTAAACTTGTTTCTTCTGACAACTCAAAAAACAATCAAAATTGCCTCAATGTACGTATTGACACCGAAACTAGTCGAAATACTGTTCCAAGTACCAGTTCACACTCTGGAAAGACATTACTCTTACGTTCAACAGTAAATCAAAATAACGCTTCTACTCCAATAGCATCTCAATTGCAACTTGGTGGTTCTTTAGCATTTCATCCTTTTCCTCCTTCGATTCAGCATAAAAATTTCTATAGGATGATTACTATGTCAGAATGGAATCAATTGATTGCCAAGATGTCCACACCATTTGGTCTTCCGTGTTGTCCGATTATTTACCCTGTGACTGGTTCAAACGAGTGCTCAGGGTGTGCTTCTGATCCATTGCTTTTTTCTCAGGGTATTTCAAACTATCAAGTAAGATTTGTAATGAAAACAATTCCTATGTTGTCTTTGTTTTGTCATTTGCTAATGCTATCTATCAGAGAGTTAGGGTTTTTTACTCGTATTAAATCAAAGGTGGATTGAATGATTTTCGAATCTACAACCTGTTGTTTGGAAGTCAAGTGATATAATGACCACCACTGAGCCACCACCGTTTATACCTGTTTTAATGTCTGATTAAATTGTTTACTCGCCACTGTAATCGTTATTGTAAGATAATCTTTCCAAATCATATAGCTCTATTGCGGGTGGTGTAGTAGTCGTTAGTCAGTCACAGCGTGATGTTTTCGTATAACTTTATTAAATATTTGAGATTTCAAGAAAGAATTGGCTTCATAAACACAAGAGATAAAAGAATCAGTTATACAGTTAGAATTAAGCGTTTCATACAGATGTAGTGACCACTCATTTACAAATATTTTGTCACTAATGTTTTATACAAAACATCAAGTAATATGTTTATTTAGTGTTGTTCGACAGAACAACATATATTGATAAAGTTAGTTGTGTTTAGCTTATTGTTTATATTTTTTGATAGCTACCCCATGACCATCGACATATGAAATAAGTTACGTAAGAGCTATTCGGGCAGTGGGTTTGTTGTTCAGGCCCTCGAATTCCAGCCACTAAGTTAAAGGTTTGAACAACAGTCCATCTACTTCGGTTTACAACCGATTAGTTCCACTAGCCCTCAAACTTGGGATGGGACTCAAAGATAAATTCGTAAACCTGTGTCTGGTCAATGGGTTAATAATAAGACGACATCAAAGCTAGCATCTGTTCGCGGTCCATCACGAATTTCTGGGTGTGTAGTCATAAAGACTACATAGCTTGGAACGTTATCGGATATGTTGATCAAAATAAAAGTCAATGAGAATCCTGTTGTAGTTCTCCTTTCGCATTCTTCATAAAAGTAAAATTCACCTTTCATGTTGGTAAAATCTACCTCGACCGTTTTCTTTAAATCAAACTGTCTTTTTGACGAGTACTATTCATCATTCATTCATTGTTTTACTCCATAACTAAGGAATAATAACTATCTATTTACGGTTATCAAAGAATCATTTTCCAAACCTCAATTATTTGTTATTCTTTATATCTAGATATCTGCTCCTTGTAAATTAATCAAACAGTCTAGTCACACTGCTACAAAATGGTTAGCTCGTGATGCATGTATAGATACCAGTGAATTAAGATGTTTTACATTGCCAAAACCACAAATCCTTAATATTTTACAACCATTGAATGCTATTCATAGTTGTTTAACTTCATTACACTTTGAAAAAGTAAGTCAAATCATAATCAATGTGTATGTATGGCATAAATTATATTGTTTCAATTTATCAAATGTTGTTTTCATGAATATTATTTTGTTACAAAAAATAAATATGATCAGAGAATAGAAAGTATGGATTGGTATTATGTTCAGTTAGTCATAGCTATCATCAATGTAGAACCTGGAATAAATATTGACCCGCCCAAGTTGCCATATCAAATCAACATAACATTGAGATAAAATTGACTAGATTTATATCGGGAAAAAAGTTGAAGTAATAGTAATAGCTATGTTAGTGACAAGGACTAAACGAAAAAAAATATATTAATGAAACAACAAACATAGTAATGATGCTTTGAATCTCAAAGGAGAGAAAAACTGAATGTTTCTGTATCATTGTGACAAATTTGGAGCTATTTCATCCTATTAGGCTCAAAATCTCTATAAAAATTAAGAATATATACTGTCGATTTTGGACCCTTTCATCTATGGTTTCCAACCATAGAATTATGATGCAATGTGTTATTGGTTGTGAGCCATTTTACTTTCAATCACTAAGTTACATAATCGAGTCCCTCTCCATCCATTTCGATTTGGGCATCCGTTTATTAACACAAAACTAAGTACACGATTATTAATGGAGTACGGCTATCTCATAAATTATAACAAGGAAATTTACACCTGGTTTGGTTCATTTCAACGGTTAAAGACCTTGTAGGCTAATCTCATGTCTTGGTTTGACCACCTCCAGCCACTTTGAAATCCACTCATCTTTTAATCTTTATTTATTTATTTATTTAATCACATATACATTGGTATAAGGAGGCACCAAATAGATATGCGCCACATAAATCATTAGATTTGTGTGAGGGCTGAGATACTGCCCGGGCGCCCAGACTAAAGCAGGTAGTTTTCTTAGGGAGCCACACCCCGAGCCCTGAACTTAAAGGTCTGACCCACAAGGCAATGGAGCATCGTGAGGAGATGCAGTCCCATGGTAACCGGTGACTAACAATTAGTTCATACGCCATTTAATCCCTCAGAGTACTGGAACCCATATGAACCAGTGGTTCGGGATGCGGCTAAAGCACCAGACATTCGCTTTTCGTTCTCTCATTTTCCTAACCAACATCCCCACCACGAGAAGGCATTGAGTAGGACTTCCCTTTCAGAGGCTGTATACGCGTAGCGGTGTGAGAGCATTTCGAGAGGGCGGGCCCACCCCACTCGCGGCCACATCAGGGCATTTGGGGGCACATTATAGATGTGGGCTATTTTTGTCCATGACAATTCGTAGATGCGAAATACTGTGTAGTCGATTGGCTTAATCGACGCAAATTGTGTCAGAGTAACGATTGCATGGGAAGTCGAACTGTTGGTTTCACCCCACGAACAAATTGGCTAGAAAATAAGCTTGCTTTGGCGTAGACAAAAACATTAATGATTTTAAATCACTCATGCTGTGTCCCGATAAGCATAATGAGTATTAACTTTTGTGATCCATTTATAGAATAATACCTAACGTATATTTTCATCGTATAATTGTTAAATAAATAAACTATTCATATTCTTCTTATTGTAAGATATATTTTGACCTATGAACCATTATTATACGTTTTACCATTCTTGAATTATGCCCTGTCTATTAGTCGCTGCATCCCACATTCACAGCCAAATCTTCTACAAATGTTGTTTTCTATGGTACTATGTGATCTGTTTGATTGTGCTATAACTGTGAGACGACAGCAGATTCGAGAGTAGCGAATTATCGATCGGATCAAAGACGCACAAACACGTAGAACGACCTAGGGTTCTGATTGGCCCCGCTTCCCTGTCTAGCCCAGCAGTTGAGTCCAGAACGCAAGTCTCAGCCTCGGATATATGAATCATTATATTTCAAACATACTTTGTTTATATACCAGTCAAGCAGACCACAACGTACGATAAAATAGAAAATAACATTGTACAATATTGACCAGTAGGAAAATAACACGTGAAATAAGTACTGACCAATAAGAAAATCATACCATGGCCAAGTCCAAGAATAGCATTAGACTTAATAGGATAATTTCTGGGATATTTTCCTGAATATCCCAACACCTCCCCTTTTTTGGAGATCCGGCGTTGATATCCGAATTTTGAATTTTTTTTCGCGTCTATCCCCCCGCGAAATAATGTTGGGTCTTCATAAACCCAAATTACAATTAATTTGATTGTATTAGTGACTTAGCCCACAAAGTTACAAAGAACTAGTGGATTTTTTCAAAGTCTATCACACTGATGGATTTTCGAAAACTCGTCCCATCAGGTTCCGAACATGATGAAGAGCGACAACAAATCAGATCTAGGTTAAGAAAAAGTCTAAGAAACGACCGTGAGCAGTGGTGGGCAACGAAAGCAAAAGAGATAGAAAAGGCGGCGGCTATGGGGAACACAAGACAGCTCTACAGGCTAATAAAAGAAACTGGAACTAATAAGTCAAGTGTAAGTGAGATTATTTCGGAAAAAGACGATACTCTCATCTATTCCCAGTCCAGACGTTTAGAACGATGGGCGGAACACTTTAGGGAACAGTTCAGCTGGCCTTCAGCGACTCTACAACTACCGTCCATTCCCAGACAGTGTGATTGGAACATTGAAGTAGGTCCCCCAACTCTAGCAGAAGTTCAAAAGGCTATAGTTAATCTGAAACATGGAAGGGCAGCTGGTCCAGATGGATTGGCTCCAGAAGTCTATAAAGATGGTGGTCCAATTTTAGCGGTTAGGTTGACCAATATTTTAGCTAAGATCTGGGAGTTAGATGTTATTCCATCTGATTGGTCGCCATCACTTATCGTCCCAATTTATAAGAAAGGATCGAAATCATCTTGTGACAACCACAGAGGGATTAGTTTAACAAATATAGTATCTAAAATACTAGCCTCAATAATAATCAGACGCCTAACTAAAACTCGTGAACTGCAAACACGAAAACCAAGCTGGCTTCAGACCTGGTCGTGGCTGCATCGACCACATATTCACCATTCGTCAGGTTCTAGAACACAGACATACTTATCGGCGTCCGACGATGGTGGTCTTTCTTTACTTAAAAGCAGCATTTGACTCGGTAGACCGCGAGATTCTGTGGCAGTGTCTCTCATTGAAAGGCGTACCCCAGAAGTACATAAACCTTGTAAAGGCTCTTTACTCGAACACTACTAGTCGAGTCAGAGCTTATGGCGAACTGTCATCTACTTTTGTAACCTTAAGTGGTGTCCATCAAGACTGTCCACTTTCTCCATTTCTGTTTAACTTCTTCATAGACCTACTGATGGAAATAACATTCTCGTCGACTGAATTCTCAGGTATTGATCTCCTTCCAGGAGGTCCACTTATCGACTTAGACTACGCAGATGATATAGTCCTGTTTGGTGAAGACACTGATAAAATGCAGAGTCTTTTGGTAGCACTAAGCTACAATGCCAGAATGTTTGGAATGCGCTTCTCTCCCTCTAAATGCAAGTTGTTGCTTGAGGACTGGTCTGCGTCAACACCTGAACTAAGGATAGGGAGTGAAGTAGTCGAATGCATTGACAACTTCACTTATCTTGGAAGTCTGATCAGCCCTAACGGGTCGGTATCGGACGAAATCTCAGCACGGATTCGAAAAGCTCGTTTGGCTTTTGCCAACTTACGTCACCTATAGCAAAGGCGAGAAATCCGTCTATCAATAAAAGGACGAGTATACTGCGTGACAGTCCGTCCTGTTTTAATTTACGGTAGCGAAACATGGCCATTAAGAGTAGAAGACACTCGTAAGCTACTAGTATTTGACCACAGATGCCTTAGAAATATTGCTGGCGTCTGCTGAGATCACCGGGCAAGTAATAGTGAGGTTAGACGCAGGGTATTAGGGAATGATGGTAAATCAGTTGATGAGGTTGTGAATCTTCATCGACTGAGATGGTTGGGTCACGTGTTACGTATGCCTGAACACCGATTACCACGACGTGCAATGCTAACGGGTGTTAGAGATGGTTGGAAGAGAATTAGGGGCGGCCAAACCAAAACGTGGCATCAGTGCTTGAAGACACTAACTTCTAGTCTGAACCATGTTGGTAGATGCAGACTACTTGGTTGGGTTCCGCGTGACTTTCGTAACCAATGGTTGGAGACTCTTGGTGACATGGCTCATAATCGATCACAATGGCGTCGGTGTATACACTCCCTGTCTTCCCTTAAACTAAGAGATTAAAATCGCTTCATATCTTTCTTTCTACGAACTAATTCTATATTCCGGTACTGTATCCTTATATGCAATCTTTCTCCTATATATTACCACCTTTAACCTAACCCCTCCCATGAATCCGGTGTTCATCTTGCTGTGCTAACGAGGTATGGCAACCTGGACCGATCCATATATGTGCCTGGTCCTACGTTGTAGCTGACTGACTTGATTGTATTTACAACATATTGCACAGGGAATCCAGTAAAATCGATCAGATATTGAGGATAAACGCCATTCAATTCGAAGTCATCAGGATTTAAATCTTTAGTAGGTGGTGGATCATTATGATAATCGGCGTCCAACAAAGCTGTACCAGGTTCTTAGTTTTTATTTGATGCGTGGAACACATTTTCTGGCAAACCGATGGGATCTTCTCGTGAGCTGGATATGTTACTGTCTGTACATGCTGTTTCGGGGATAACGGAGTTCGAATCCATTACTGGGAATGTTTCTGGAATAGAAAGTACTGGACCACTGGGCGCATCATGGATGACTGCCGTTTCGTTTGAAGTACAGTTTATTGAGGATTCATGGAGGCTGCTGTCATTTTCCAGCTCACTGTGTAACTCAGATATCAATCCATCCACTCCCGTCGCATCTTCATAGCGTGACTGACTGATTTAGCAGCTGCGTGCGGAACTTGACTAATAACTCCAAATGTCGTTCGAAGAGCAGCTGTAATCGATCGGAAGGGAGAGTCATTTTTTCGAATCAGCACCTGTGATGAAAATTACTGTGTGAATAATGACCAATGTCGTTCAAGGACAGTGACGACAATCTGGACGCTGATTGGTCGAATAATTAGATTAGATTTCGTCCAATTACAGAATGACTTTGGATTGTTGTTTTTTTCACCCCGTCGCCAATTGTTATAACTGTGAGACAGCAGATTCGAGGGTAGCGAATTATCGATCGGACCAAAGACGCGCAAACACGTAGAACGACCTAGAGCTGTGATTGGCCCCGCTTCCCTGTCTAGCCCAGCAGTTGAGTTCAGAACGCAAGTCACAGCCTCGGATGTATGAATCATTATATTTCAAACATACTTTGTTTATATACCAGTCAAGCAGACCACAACGTACGATAAAATAGAAAATAACATTGTACAATATTGACCAGTAGGAAAATAACACGTGAAATAAGTACTGACCAATAAGAAAATCATACCATGGCCAAGTCCAAGAATAGCATTAGACTTAATAGGATAATTTCTGGGATATTTTCCTGAATATCCCAACAGATTGGTATATAAACTCAGTATGTTTGAAATATAATAATAACTCATATCGCAGAGGCTCGGATTGGTGTTCTGAACTTAACTGGCTGGGCTAAGCAGGAAGCAGGACCAATAAGAACTCTAGACTGCTCATACGGGTTTACGCGTCATTGATCCGATTGATAAGTCACTGCTATTTAATTGGAGATATCGTTACGTTATAGATTATCAGGGCTTACAAGTCACAAGTATAACAACTCAATACATAATCGACTGTGAAATAACGGTTTTGTTGATGGCTCGCTAATAAAATTATTATATAACTACCATTTAGTTAGTTCTCGGGCATCAAACCACGTAATTACACGTTTGCTCACCACTCCATAGATTGCTCTATTCTTTGTATCGAAATTCATACATCTGACCTCAGGGTTATTCACTTGAACCATGCACAATTAACTCATTGAAGATGTTTGTGATCAAATATTAGCCACTTACATATGTCTTTTACTTTGTTGGACCATGTTTCATAGCCATAAAGTAATTCCAAGAGATGTTATGCAGAATATTTGCTCTTTGACATATGTATAAACATCTCACACGTGTCATAGATAGCAAGAGTTGCCATAAGTCGAATAAAATCTGTCCGAAAATTGGGTCGACTACCGATTTACTCGGGATTTCAAGATGAAAGAGATGGTCAACATGTTCAACAGCTTTACATATATGATAGTGTTCATTCGTTACACAAGTATTAGTTGAATTGTATATATAATACTTTAAACAAAATTTCTCTTCCTCGTGTTTTTATCGGTTCTCCCATTGTTTTTTGAAAATATGCAATCTTCGTATTCATATCTAAATCTATTTCGCTTTAGTACCTAGTAAATAGACATAGATATATTGTGTATATATATGTGTATCAATGATAAGGTTCATTTATTTATTTATTTCGTATCGTTACATGTCTAACACGAAATGACTCATCGTAGATATATTTTTATACCTAAATCACTCACTATACCTTTCACACAAATACGGATGCAAGTATACCAGTTTTATTTACTATATCTGACAATTTGTGGAAGGATCTGTACCGTTTGAAGATGTTTTTTCCTCCATCACAAACTGGTGACATCAGTTAAAGGATCATTTTAAAAAATTCGACAAGCATAGACAATTGTTTCCTACTAGTTTCAGACTCTTTAGACTGCATTCATTGATGGCATTTGTCTTGTGAAATTCATCCAGGCAGTTTACATCTGTCTACATTATTTGAAAAAAATAGTCAGTGCCCTCATAGACATACGTGTTAGCATATTTCTCAACCACATTATTCAATCAAGGTTCACAACCACTTTAAACCACTACTGTTCTCACTGTAATTTTCCTATTTAAAAGTGAAACTTTGAAAGAAATCATGCTTAAATATTTTTAACCTACGTTTATTTTATAACAATTTAATGTTTAGTAGCAATTTCTTAAAAAACCCTTGATATATATTGATGTTGCTCACATTACTAAACAGTAAAGCTTTCCTAACACAGTGCGGAAGATTCGAACTCGTATCACCTATTTTCTTAATCTGAGACGGGGGTACAACTAAGGTATTCGAACCGTGCACAATATTCTCACTTCATTCTTATCTATCCTCTACCATGTTTTGCCATGTACGTTACTTTTGTTTTTATTTTCGTTGTTTATAGGTTGGGATTTCTCATATAAATTTGTGTGAATCTCCACATTTGAAAAATATCACTTTAGAAAATTGCACTGAACTAAAAGCTATCTTATTTGACAATCATTCTTCAATAGTTGATTGTACTAATCATCAGAATAATGTCAACTGCAAAGCTGTCGATCGATTTCCAGCACTTCGACGTATTCGAATTATTAATTGTCCAAAGTTTGCAATCTATAATTTCCTATCCAGTGTTGGTAAACTTTACCCTACACACAATGAAAATATATCTATTACATACAGGCAAGTATTTTTTTTTCCCATCAAATTATTTATAGTATACCATCTGAACATTTGCTTTATATAATAAAATCATTGTTACATCAAAAATGGGCACTTCTAGGAGCGTTTTGCATTCTGGCTCATCAGTTTTAAATTTAGACGCTCTTCTTGTGGCCTGAACGTCCCCGGGTTCCATGCACGGAAAGATCTTAGATTTCCACTGCTGAGTCTCATACTAGGACGAAATGACTGTTTGGTACTTCTTGATTTTCAGTGGTTTCCTAAGACCAGTCTGTGATGTAAACTATGGAACTTCAATAATCTGCACAAATCTATTGTAATCTAAAAAATATTGATAAAGGCAGATAATATTAAAGGAGCGAATGTTAATAATGAAGGAAAGTGTAGGATGTAAGCTGAAGCTAATGTCGCGATAGCATTTTTACCAGCTTAAATTTTATGATATCCCTGTCTTGTCCTCTTTGTTTTTAAAATGCTTAACTGATTTCGTTATTCTTACGTTCGAAATAACACAATTATTATTATTAAGTGGTCTACTCACAAATATTCACCTGTATATTTTAATGAAATCAGTGTATTTGTTAAATGTTTAGGTGATTATAATGTTCATTCATTCCACTATTGCTTTGTTAATGATTTCATCAATTTTTCAACAATGATTCGAATAAATTCCTCTTAAATCATATGTTCACTGCATATTGTACTTATTTGCCATCTTTTCAATCAAATCCATAAATAAACATCTATATTCCGTCCTCACACTTGACAGTGAGTATCTATATACTTGGGTTCTTTTTCCTTTCAATTTCATTACAGTCGTAGATTTTTCCGCATAAGGTGTTGTCACTAGTTGTTTGGGTAAAATGGGCAAAACCGTATTAGTTTAGCACTCTAATGCTGACAATATGATCGCAGCACTTTAATGTCAGTTGTTGTTTCCATTTAGTACTAATATGGTATGACGAAACGTAGTTAGTATTTAATTCGTGTACATATTTTATCAACAAATCGTGTTGATACAAAATAGATCATAAAAGTCGAGTATGGATTGGATTTTGGATGCGTATATATCCCAGACTTGCTAATATTAGACGGCAGGTAGACAACAATAGATGCAGCGAATACTCAGAGCATTCAGTTTCGGGGAGAAAACCTATTTGAAAGTGTAATAAGGTAGTGACCCAGTTTTTATAAATCATGGAAGAAAATCCAAAAAGTGGATGGACACATGTATCGTTTATGCATATATTTGCATAAAAAGTGGTCAAGGTTAAGGGATAGTAATTGATATAAAAGCAAAATAACTTATAGCGTTAAGAATAGTTTACCTGGCCGAAAGCTAGAATAAATCACTTAAACACGTTATGAACTAATACTCCATCACCATTGGTCAATTTGTGATGTAAGACGAAACAGTAGCTACTGTCAACGTTTATAAACACCTTCAAATAATCAACTTTTGTGTTAATCGGTTGTGTCTTGATTAAAATTCTTGTTTTATTTTGACCCTGTTATTTTTTGGTTAAAAATTAACCTTTTTTATAGACCATTTGGACAATATAATACTCAGGTAGAACGAGCATTATGGGATTATTGTCAGCATGCGCACATACTTATTTCACATGACTACAAAGTTTGGGAAAGTGAACGTGCCATGGAAGACTTTCATTCCACGTTTGATCAGTTGTTCAGAGAAGTGATCAATTTCTCTGAGTAAGTTTATATTTGGCGTGTGTGCAATCCAGTGAAAATCTTTACTAAAATGATCTACTGTAGATGACTCTAACTGTTTAGAAAAGGTTTATCTTGAATCCTACTTTTTCATTTTAAAAATATATACCTGATAAGTTGTGATAGGAAGGCGAGTTGACGTTTTTTCATAACTCGGTGTCATATTTTATGAATTTCTATGATACCCCAACCAGGGGATCATGAAGTGTCGATAGATACCAGTCGTGTACAGCTTAGTTGCAAACCACGGAACCATGTCAGAAACCTACCACTTCTCTGTTTTTCCCAAATAGTCCCAGCCTCTGCAAATACTGCACGATATGGAATTCGCTGGGATGACATGCTTAGTACATGTCCAATTCACTGAAGTTGGTGTTTATAACTTCGTTGATTGAATAAAACAATAAAAAGAGGTGGTTATATGCCTTCACTCCGCCTGAAGTGCTTGTACATAGGGCTCTTAAGATGTTGAAGTTTATTTATGCACACTCTTCAATAAACAATCTTGCCTAACGAATCAAATGCATCCCTGATGTCGCGAAACAACGATTGTTGGCCTGCAATAGGTATAGCCGTATTTGGCAGAGAGTGAACATATTATCAGTACTGTTATGTCCTATAACCCGCTAAATATCACGTGACACAATCGTCAATCAAAACAGTGACCTTGTCCCTGCGTTAAACTAATGATATGTCAACCAGCAAGACGAGGCTTGAGTCAGCTCTCTGTCCTTATTGGTCCTATGTGTAGTAGTTTTTCGCCTAACCCAGCCCGGTTCGATCCGGAACACAAATATCAGACTCTGCTATATGCATTGCATATTTCAGACACACGTATTTTATGTACAAGCAAACCGAACCTCATCACACCACAAAACAAAAAATAAAAGTTATACAAGATCAAGCCAAAAGCGGTTGTATGTGTGGATTACTGTAACTGATAGAATGGGAATAATTTAAGACTGGTAAGTCGTATTGCAGTAGCCAATAGATCAAATGAAAGCTTATGGTAAAAGCTATATATATAACAGTTCATAAATATAACCTTACAATTACCATTCATTTATTCTTCGTTCGGATATAACATTATATCCTCGATCAGGACGGAAATCAACCCCGTCCCCCGAGGGCCAGTCGTCCACGTATTTTGAACGTTTCGCAAAGTAATACGGAAGCTAATAGTCCGGATGCAATTGGAGATAGATTTGTCTCCCGATAGTTCCACAGATGACCTAAACCCATTTTAAAGTTAAGGATGACTACAGTCTTATTGCAAACTGTGTTGAACATTCTAACTGCCAAGCGTTTGCAAACAATTTAGTCAGTTCCATAGATATAAGGTCGCCACCATCTTTTTAAAAACATCCGGAGATAAGTCATCTGAGTCTCTTGGTATTTGTTGCTTTAGAAGTTGTAATTTCTTGAGAACTTCCATCTCGTCAAGTGTGTCATTCAATACTGGCTAGAGAGGACAAAATAGACAAATCTTCCTTATCTGTGAACCTGGTTTAGGCGATGGACATCCTCTTTCCCCTCACTTTCGTTAACAAATCCTCTAGAAGCTCTAAGCTTATAACCTTTTAGAAACGTTTTGAGAAGATAAATTGACTCACTCTCCACTATATCAATGCATTCGAGGACCTTTCTTCGATTATTATTATTTCTCATCTAACAGAAGAGAATAATATATGTAAATCTTAATCTATCAATTCTTAAACCTTGGCGTCTGTTTGCGTGTTGTAACATTAATGTTTAGTAAATAATGCACCTTTTTATTTTACACTGTTATGTAGTATGGTTATTCGTCGGGACCTCCTTCCTGTGTATCCTCAGCCCATGGAATATACACAAAATTCATTTTATAAACGCTGTGAACTTGGTAAGCCAGATTATTTCGTTGTTGTTGAATTGCTGTTTACTTTCACGTTGTCAATTTTTTTGGCGCTGATATCTAATCCTATTTATTTTATCACTTTTTTTGAAGTGTAAAATTAAGCCAAACATAAATGCATACGTAGTTTGACGTATGTTCCATTGAATTACGGTTCAGTTATTTAAAGGTTAAGCTGTCGGTGCGAAACCTGATGGTCCTTGGTTTGGTCCCTACTGAGGTCGTGTATGTACTCTGCTAGGGAGTCTCGTTCTGAAACAAAACAGCTGTTTGGCCCTCCCTAGTTTTAGTGTTTGTCTAACTTGATTCAATATTCATGATCTCAATAACATACCCCTCTGTCGGTCCATCATTTTTCGAGTGTCCAAAGTCACATAGACTATTTTCGATGTCTTATTGTTAAATTGAAATCGCGAAAAGTACCCATGATTGGGTGCATATAATAGGTCCGAAAACAACTCTTAACAAATATTTCCCATGTTAATAAATCTTCACTGATTCCTTGTTATTTTATTGTTTATCATGCACAGAATCTCTATAAAATGTATTCACTAATATTCATGTGTAATTCTCTCGATGTGTTTTTCATCATCGCCTAACTTATTTGGTGAAGAAAGACAACACTAACGCTCTACATTTTTCTCACATCAACAACTTTTTCATCAAATCAGTAGCTAGGTGTAATTCCGTGCTTTTTGTCAAGGATAATAGCTATTCCTGGTCGTCCAAACTCCGAAATAGGCTGGATGGAGTTTCGACCTGAAATACAGTTGTAAAATATTGTAGCTACTAAGCCGCTACACAATAGAGGGGTCTTATGTGTTTTTAGATTATTTCACTCCTATTCAATCGTGAAAGAACGTGTATGGATTATATAATCCTATACTTTATATTTGTAGAGAGGTAGGTGACTTATTGGCTAAAACATTTGACATTCAGTAAACAATTCAAAGGTTCATACCATGCTGCATCCGCCCCGGTGTAAGCAACTAAACATTATCCCGGTAAGCCAGACAAATAAAATGTGGCTCAAAACACGAACATTTACTCCATAAATGAGATTCATTCATATTAACAAGTTACAGTTGTTATTGTGGGAGGTGGTTGGAAGCAATCGGTACGATTTTCGGCGACAAGATTTTGTGCTAATTAGCATTCGACAACATGACATAGATGCGACAACCGAAAATCCCTGTGAGTTTCAAATCCACATCACCCAGTGTTACAACTAGTCACTATTTACCTCAATAATATGTGACTTATCTAGAAGACTGGTTTTTCAATTATCTTAATACTTTTTGTGTTTTGTTTACCCTTCATTTTGTTAAACCTTTTTTACCTTTCCAGGTTGTGAGTGGGATTTTGTTACAGATATACCATGGGTTCATGAAGTATGTTGTTCTCTTCTTAAAAATAATGAACTACATCGGTCTGATCAAGCTGATCAACTTTATGAATTATTGTCGGAATATCAAGCAGCTTCGGAAAATTTGAAAATTCAACGACATGGTATACATTATCATGTGCAATTTCGAAATGTTCATTCACACATTGATGTGTGTAATAACGATTCATCAAGTATGGTAGACAACGATAACTTAAATTATTTTTCACAGCGTAAACCTACTTCTTATATTAGCTGGCCATATTCTGAAAATAATCTACTTTCTACCTATCCTTCTGATGATGTCAATACAATGAAAAATATCTTAAAAGAATACCACCCATCGTTTGTTCAGAATATGTCTTCAGGCAATCGTTCACAAGCAACAATAATTAAACATGATAATAATATTGAATTTTTACCTTGGAAACGTTTATTACTATCACAAGAAGAAATATTCGATGCTGAATTTGTGAATCTTGACAAATCATCAAGCTTATCATCATTCCCTAATAATATTAAACCTTTATCTAAACAAAATTCTTTATCCCATTTGTCAAATGTCATGAATAAATCACTTTCAGCGTCTGATAATCGTTCAAAAAAATTTACTTTCTCTTCCACTTCGAATTTTTCCTCCTCCTCCTCCACGTCCCGACAACAACAATCGTCATCCATATCTTCTCCAGTATCAACTACTATATGTGATCATTCTACTTTAATTTCTTCCTCTCGTAAACGTTCACTTCCTCCAACTAAATTATTTTCGAATCCTTGTAAAAAGTTTAAGTTAAAACAGTGATTATCTCATTTCATTTAATGGTTCGTATGTATGTATGTATGTTTGTTTGTTTCTCTGTTTTTTATGCTTGTGCGTAGACGCATGTATGACCTTACCTGTTTCTAACCACTCATTTCCTTTCTGATTCACTCTCTCTTTACTTAATTATTTGTCCTATTTCTTATTACACCTATATCTTGTAATCTTTTCTTATTAAAACTCTTTGTTATCAGTCCTCTGCTCCTTAACAAACAAACACATAAAATTGTATACAGTTTTTGAGTTCTCTTTCTTATCATATATATAATACCTTTTGCCACACACATTCATGCACATTCTCTTTTTATTTGATGACCGTCCCGCTCCGCCTCTTGACATAATCATCACGTTTAAAATATGTTGTACATTAATGGATAATAGTAATATTGTTCTTATTATTACTGTTACTATTATTATTATTATTAATCTCAGCCACAATAATAAGCTACTTGTTTATCAATCCGATTTATATTGGACCAAATATATTTTCAAATCATTATATATACATATATATCGTCTTTTGTTTATTTAAAATAAGTTTTTGCGATGATCATTTTTATATTCTTGTGCGATGTATCGATTTTATAACTGAACTCTCTTACACTGCTTATAATGTAGTTATAAATTGATTTAAACATGCTATGATCGTTACCGACCTATTGATTGACAGAAATTAACAACAAAAATGCCTGAACACACTAACCATATACAAAATCCTGTTTAAAAAATAGTCCTAGTGACGGTAATAAAAAGCGAAAAATGTACCCAAAACATATGTATGTATGTGATTGATTTAATTGAGTTATAGAACGTGTTCTGTTAATTCAAATAATTAATGAAAATTAATTATATTTATAAGAGAAGGATATAATTATTACTAGTGTAGTGAACAGAACACGGGTGGGGACAACCGAATATATGTAGCACAAAATTACAGAGTTACTTGGTAAACTAGAAAAACCATATAGTAAATCGTTAATTTGCAAAATGTCATTCTATCATATCAAACCGCACTGTTTCTGTTGCAATCATCAATCCATTGTCTCATTTCATGGTTTATGAGTTTTCTTACAAATTGAATTGCGTTCCCGCTCTTCCTTTGTTGATCTTTCCCCATCTTCTGCTGCCAGACATTACTTATATCAATATAAGTAGCACACACTAGTAATCTTAGTGATATAAAAATTAGTAAATTTAAGCAAACAGACTTTCTTATCAATCCATCACAAAAATACAAAGATGACAATCGTATAACCAATATAAAATTTAATAATAGATGGAATTACGAGATATCTAGTTATAAAAAATATACATTGACTACTTTGATATTTTATGAGCAAAAAATTTGCAACACAGTCTCATTATATGATTATTTGTTGTATAGTTGTATCTAGACTGGACTATTTTAATGATAACTGCAGTTATTTAATAGCATTATTCTATGCTTTAATTGATTTTAGCACTAAATAGCTTTGATTATTGAAATTGTATCCGGATACATTTTAGGGTATAGATTGTTTCACTATGGCAATGATAATCGATTTACAAATGGGGTACAAGAGCTGATCTCTAACAAACCATTAAGTAATAAATTGAGTTAGCTTTAAAAATGTCTAAAATGATAATTTCAGTTAAACATTATGTAACTGATTCGGTTCTTTCAAATTTTATTAAATCTCATTGAAAATATTTTATTCGATTTGTATCGTGGTTTTTGACACTGGTTGGATTTAAATCCCATACCAAGTTAAATGAGTTCGAATATAAGAAAATTATTAGCTTTTTTCAGCTTAATTCTCTCTGTTATATCTTATACAGTACTATGACTTTCTGTACCCTTCAATAACATGAGCTTGTTAAGAGTGGGCAAAATAATTCGTATAAGTTCTATTAAGTGGTACCATTAGGTTATCATTAAATATTGAACGAGTGTCCTGTGAAGTGAGATGATAACTAAGGCCAAGTTGAGCCATCTTCGATGATCATTTTGTAACATGGTCTGTATCGTGGGGTATCACCTGTGGTTTGTGTTATCTATTATTATCTTCGCCTTCATATGTTGACCACTTAAATTACGTCTTTTATGCAAGTGTTAATGTAACCATTTACTGTTTTGACCTTCATGAATATGTCAATATGTTTTTGACGATGTAATGTTTTCCAACTGTTAATTGACAGAATAGTTGGTGATCGGTCAAATAGACTGCAAAATGATCGCTCACATAAAACTGCTTATAAAAATCCCTGTTGATCGACAAAAGGACATATAATTAACAAATTTTTAATCAGATAGTTTACTAGCATACATTGAACAAGACCATAGTCCAATGTTTTAAGATATCTGAATTTAGTGAAAGTCGATTACTGTCACGCAATTGATTCAATGTAACAGGATAAAGGAGTCAACCACATATTGACTGAGTTATGATTGACTTGTTCTAATCACTGTTGTAGACCGCTTATTAATTAAAATGTTCAGTTTTCAACCGATGAGTCGCAAGCTCAAATCCCGCTTTACCTCTATTTTAATAAACAGGTAGTACCAAAAGTCCTCGTATAAATAACTTGGCTTAAAAGCCGAGCATATACTCTGTAAATAAGTTAAAATAATGAAGTACGCTGAATTAAATGAAGATTAAATCTTTTCAGTATGAGAACGCATTTTGGATTTTCTCTAAAACCAAAATATCCCAATTCAGTTTTATGATTAGATTGAATATGGGTTCACGAAGCGGACAGATTGATTTGGGGTTTCACTAATGTAAAATATTCTGAATATGCTTTTTTTAAAAATAAGTTGATGAATCATGGTGCTAATAACACAAACTATTCCCATTTTGAATAGGATTTCCTTATTCCGATCAACACTCCCTCAGTCATGATAAGTAACGAACTTGGAACCAATGGAATCCCTAAGGAATGGATTATATTTAGTCCATTGAGTAAGTATCCAACGGTTCACCCTTCAGTTATAGCCATTATCCTATGTTCTTAAAATAAATCTATACAGCAACTCTCTCTAACATCATCGATATAAGGGTATGTTTTGACTGAACTCCATTCTTCCAAACAATTTTGTAATTTTTTTTGTGTTTATAGTATTCGTTTCTTGATTCTTACACAGCCATTACGAAATTGACTTTTTTAAAATTCCCTCATCAAATATGTCATCTAACAGCCGTTTAATTACATGTTTTCAATTTTCGAAGATTATTATAATCCCCTCCTTTCAATTACCCAATAATCATTTTGAAATTATATATTTATGATGGTAGATTACGATTAATAGTATTATTTTACTAATATATTATATATGTATATAAACAAATGTGGAGTCATAATAAACAACTAATTGCCACTAAATGCCCTGGTACGGCCGAGAGTGAGGAGAGTTCGCTCTCCCTCTCCAAATGCTCTCACATGGCCACGCGTATATAGCCTCTGTCAGGGAAGTCCTACTCACTGCCTTCTCGTGGTGGGGGTGTTTTTTACGAAAATGAGAGGGGAAAAGGCGAATGTATGGCGCTTTAACCGGATCCCAAACCAATGGTGCACATGGGCTCCAGTATCCTGCGGGAACAAATGGCGTATGAACCAATTGTGGGTCACCGGCTTCCATGGAACTGCATCTCCTCACGATGCTCCACTACCTTGTGGATCAGACCTTCAGGTCGAAGGGTCGGAGTGTGGCTCCCTAAGAAAACCACCTGTTTCGGTTTGGGCACCCGGGCAGTATCACAGCCCTCACACATATCGAATGGGATTTGTGTGGCGCATATATATTTGGTGCCTCTTTGTACCAATATCTATGTGTTGAAATAAATAAAACATCTAATTGAAATGAAATTTCTTCGATCTGTTCTTTTATTATCCATTGATATCCACGTTATCTGTTTTACAGCTGAAATGGTTGAGATCCGGTGACTGTAGCTGCTTATTAAAACTTCGAGAAACTCTTAGAGTTAATTACTAGTAATTACATGATTTCTATTAGCATAAATGGGTTGAGAAGCCCAACTGTAAGGTGAAACATTTGGTCAGTGTTAGCTAAATTTTCCTTAATGCAAATTGTAGACGATAATTTTCACACAAAATAATAGTTTACAATAAATTTGCACACATATGCGTTCATAACATAACAGCTTGTCAGGAAAGCGAATAACAATTAAAAATATTTTCAAAGTATCTAAATAACGTTTCCACATATACTTCGAGTAAATAATCGATTAAATGTAATTGAGATCATGAATTGATCAATGTTAGACCACCACTGCAAACTTGAAAGCACTGAACGGCCGTTTCGTCCCAGTGTGGGACTCAGCAGTAAGCATTCACGAATCCACACGCGAAATTCGAACTCAGGGTCTTCCGTCTCGCGCGCGAATGCCTGACCTCTAGACCACTAAGGAATCATACAACGGTGTTTTAATATCTAACCCCAACCAATCCACGATATCGAAACCATCTTCCAATGTCTTCAGTAGGTAGCTGCCCCACACCCGATGCGATTGAACTCCACTGCTCATGGCTTCTCACTAGAGTTACCTCTCGAAGCTAGTCACCAATGAGCACATGAAACTGTTATGTCCTTGATCTGTCTACCACTTTTTGTGCACAGTATAACTTGTCTAATCTAGATTAAGACCTTGACGCGATAGGCTGACTGGTTTAACCTTGAGGCTAGTATGCGTGAGATCTAGGTGAGATCAACTGCTTGGGGTAGAGAGACGTAAATTATTCTATCACTTGATTGGCTGACAAGCACGCGAGTGAGAGAAGACTAGTCAACTGGCACACTACATGATTTATTCCCAATTCCGATTTGGTTCCCGATTTCAGATTAGTGTAAAAGATACATGAATAAATAAATAACAACTCACAACAATTAGGAAAATACAATTATGTGCATAACTGGAGATGGGCGTAGAAAGTAGAGTACAAAATACTACGTTTAAATCACAATAGCTTTGGAACAAAAGGGGCTATGACAGTGAATCATATATCAAACGAAAGCTTATGATCTGTAGAATAGACGAGGGACAAAAATAAATGTTATTGTTTTACAAGCTTTGAATTAAATCAAATAACGCCCCTAGAAACAGCTTCCGTAGTTTTTAAGGCTTCTTGTTTATCTGTTCACATCAGAAACGAAATGGCCGTCCAGTGATTCCAGGTTTTCAATGGTGGTCCAACATTGATTGGTTCATAATCTTAATTAAAACCCAAGAATCTTCGGAACCCTATATTGATAATCGAATAATTAATGAGTTAAATATTAATTATTTTCAGACACTTGAGTATTAACTGTGATCATGAGTAAGGTTTGATCGTATCCACTTAAGTGGCCATATCATACACTAATAAAACGTACATATAAACTATAACTTGACGTTTTTTAACATATTTTTATTGATTAAGTTCGCTAAATAAAATGAAAATCAGCTTGTTGAAAAGTCTGTGTAAATGCAATTGCCTATAAGTAGTATCAAAAGTATTAGACCAATTA